CCCCCCGCCGCGAGCCCTGACCACGCCCCTTTGCCGTCCCTCTGCGTCCTCGCCCCGCCCCTCACCCCTCCTCCGCCTTCTGTCTCCGCCCCCTTAGTGTCCAGCTCACTTATCCGCGGACTGCGCTCTGCCCTGCCCCTCCGCACCCACCCTGTTGTCTCTCTCCTCTCTGACCTGCCTCTTGGCACTTTCACGCCTTTCTTCCTCGCCCACTTCCACTCTTTCAAACGGTTCCCCTACTTCACTCATCCTGGTTCCTCCCGCAGCCCTTCCAGTCCCATGGCTCACACTCGAATTCGGCTCCGGCCCGGCCCGCTCTAATTCCCGCCCCCTCCTCGTTCTTTCTCCAGTCACCGAGGCCCTGCTTCCCGGAAACGACACGGGCTTGGATCGTGCGGCCTTCGGCAGCCCGTGCGTCCGCGGTTCGCAGCCCTGGCAGGTCTCCCTCTTCAACGGCCTCAAGTTCCACTGCGCGGGCGTCCTGGTGGATCCCAGCTGGGTGCTTACGGCCGCACACTGCTGGAGAAACAAGTAGGGGGTGCTCCTCCAGGATGTCGCGGAGGGAGAAGGGTTGGCAGCCCGGAGAAGGCGGGAAGGGCCGGGCCCTGGGGTTCTCCCTGCCCGGGGTGGCCTTGGTCTTGGAGGCCGCCCCCTCGTCACCCTACCCAGGTACCTGATGGTAGGAGAAGAGACCGGGCCTGTGCTGTTGCCTCTAGGGGGCGGTGTGGTCCTTCTCTCATTTCTGGGTCCGTCCCTACCGGTTCCATTTAGCCCTAGGCAGGTGTACGCAACCGACAGAAGGCAGAATATGGCAGGTGTCGGGAATTTAGAACTGAAAGAAACGGAGTGCCTCAGGAGTCCCCTCTGGGGAGAAAGGGCAGGACGCCATAGAAAAAGGAAAGAGGGGCTGGGGATTTAGCTCAGTGGTGCCACCTGCCTAGCAAGAGCAAGGTCCCGAGTTCGATCCCTAGTGCCAAAAAACAATAAAAATCAGAAAATAAAAAGATAAAGGAAAGAGTGAGCTCCCCCGGAAGTCCAGTTCCCTCCTTCGGGCCCCTCACTTCTGACTTTGCCCGGCCACTCAGGCAGGGCCGTCTGCAGGAATGTTCTCCGTGTGGCCCTTCTTTTCCCAGGCCTCTGTGGGCTCGAGTCGGGGATGACCACCTGCTGCTTCTCCAGGGGGAGCAGCTCCGCCGGACTACGCAGGCCTTTATTCACCCCAAGTACCAGCAGGGCTCAGGCCCCATCCTGCCCAGGCGGACTGATGAGCACGACCTCCTGCTGTTGAAGCTGGGCAGGCCCGCTGTGCTGGGGCACCGTGCCCGGACCCTGCGGCTGCCCTACACCTGCGCCGTCCCCGGAGACAGCTGCCAGGTGGCTGGCTGGGGGACTACGAGCACCCGAAGAGGCAAGACTGGGGCCCTGCACTCCTGGGTCTGAGGGTCTGAGGGAGGAGGCCTGGGGCCTGGGATGGGCCGTCTTGCATGTGCACGCCTGCGTCCCAGAGCACGGCGCTGCCCCAGGGGTGACCTGGCATCTTCTCCCATCAGTGAAGTACAACAGGAGCCTGAGCTGCTCCAGGGTTACTCTGCTGAGCCCCATGGAGTGCGAGGGCTTCTACCCGGGCGTGGTCACCAACAACATGATTTGTGCCGGGCTGGACCAGGGCCAGGACCCTTGCCAGGTAGAGATGGGCCAGAACGTGTCTCCGATTCATGGAGGGGTACAGGGAGAGAGTGGGAAAGGGTGCCTGGCTCTGCCCCTGCTTACCCACCCTTCACCTCCCCGTCCCCAGTCCTGAGCCTCCTCACCCTGTCCTCAAGCCCTTCCCACCATGAAGCCGTTCCAAAACCCGCGTGCCCGTGTCTCCTGACCCTCTGCGTTCTGCACCCGCTGGAAGCCCCAGGCCTCACCCACCGTGCCCCCGTTCTCCCACGCTAGCACGAACACCTCAGATCCGTTCCACCACACCCAGGGCACCCCAGTGTCACCCCTCAGCTTTACGCGCCCCGCTCTAGCCCTCCTGCCCCCGTTTCCCTCTCATTGCCTCACACCCCAGAGTGGCAGGGCTCACACCGCGGCCCCTTCTTCCTCCCACCCCCAGAGTGACTCCGGTGGCCCGCTGGTGTGTGACGAGACCCTGCAAGGCATCCTTTCCTGGGGCGTTTACCCCTGCGGCTCTGTCCAGCATCCAGCTGTCTACACCCAGATCTGCAAATACACCAGCTGGATCCAGAGAGTCATCCGCTCCAACTGACCTGCAGCCCGGGGCCCTGCACCTCTGTCCCCTGCCTCCCTGCATGCGGGAGCCTCTCTGCCTGTCACACCTGCTACCCTCCACCCTCTCCCCTCTCCATTGCTCACACCGGAGCCCAAGTGCGGAAAACAGAGGCAGAACTTTGTTCACGCAAGGAAGCTGGTGTAGTCATCCAGCCTCTGAGAGATGCGATCGGGCTCACGCTACTGGGCTTCCTGGACCACTCCCTGCCGTGTGACTTGGCAAGCCCAGTACCCTCCCTGGGCCTTGTTTTCCTTGCCCGCAAAATGGGGACAGTGCAGTGCCTTAGACATGTCTCGAGGAGCTGATGAAATTTGCACGTGACTCTTTCTGGTCACTGCCGTGGCACTCCGTGATCTGTGAGCGCTGACTAAACATTATTATCCTCCTGATCACTTCCTGGTTCAAGCATGATGATTATTTCCGGATGCAGTGCCCTGAGGTGGTCTCCAACCTGGTCTCCAGTGAGATTCACACTCCCCGTGCCTCTCTGAAGCCTCAGGAAGCACCTTTGAAAGATCTCCTCCTTTCCTCCCAGTGTTCCCCATTCCTGAGTCCACCCAACACCATCAGGTCCTGGCCCAAGCTGCCTGGCTCGTTCTCAAGCTCAGGGGACCATGGGAACTCGGGAACCCACCCTGGCTCCAAACCGGTCACGATGTCCATACCCAGAAGCCTCCCTCTGAAGTCCCACGGAAACCTTTGGTTGCCTTGCTATTCATTGGCCTTGAGATTTTGTCCCAAAAGCTCAGGAGCGTTTTCTTCTCCCTCAGGTGATCTGGGATCTTATTTCCATCCTGGGCTGGGACTGGAGTGGGGTGAGGGTGTTACACACACAATCCAGGCAAAGCCCGTAGACACTGAGTTTCCACTAAACGGGACACTGGCACCGCCCACGGCTTCCCCAAAAGCCGGGTCTGTTTTTGTTCCCCCTTCAATCACCAAGTTCTCAAGCGCCCGCTCTGTACCAGGCCCGGCACTGCACAGTGGGGATGTGGCAGTGACCACAGCCAGGCCCCCCGCTCCCGCTCCCAGAGAGCCCGAGATGGCCGTGCGAGGTCCACGGGCGGGGTCGCCGTCCCTCTCCCTCCGTGCCCTCAGCACACCCAGGAAATGTCAGCCTAGTCTGTCGGGCAAGGCTGTCACCGGGGGACCCAGGCAATGTGGGTGGGAACTCCCCAGGGACTCACAGCTGCAGGCTGCTGGCCGCTGCTGAGTGTCATGAGTCACGTCCTCTGCCAGCTCCTACCCTCAGGAAGCTGCTCGTCAGGTGCGGGACACAAAGGCGAGCCTTACGTGCCTGGCATTCAGCTCTGCACTCAAAGACGCCTCCTCCAGGACTCCCCTGGGTGAAGAGTCACTGATCGCATCGAATTCACTCTGCCTCTCTCTTCACACAAGCACCACGCCTGACGCTCTCACATTTCTGCGTAGCTCTTGGTCTCTGAATCCCTGACATGCACACACATGGAGCCCACGAGGCCAGGGGCTCAGACACTTGCTCGCACTGTTTTCTAAGCCCTATGTCAGGCGCAGGAGCCCCTCGGCACGCTGTTGAATGGACAGGTAACGTGTGCTAAGAGAGGAGGGGTGATGTACACCTCAGAGGGCCACAAACTGCCTGCAGGACTGAGGGAAGGCTTTTCACACAAAAGGACATTCTTGTGGGGTTTTAAAGGACATGTAGGAGGCAGGCACAGCAGTGCATTCCTGTAATCTCAGGACTCTGGGAAGCTGAGGCAGGAGGGTGTCAAGTTTGAGCCCTGCTCGGCAAACTTAGCAAGATTCAGTCTCAAAAAATACAAAGGGCCGGAGATGTAGCTCAGTGCAAGGGCCCAGGTTCAGTCCCCAGTGCCACGAAACCGATCCATCAATTTTTTTTTGTACCTTGTGCTTCCGAGGCAGACAGCAGAATCACTGAGCTAAATTGCCAGCCCCATCAATCAAATTCTTAAAAAATGTCTAAGTAAAAGACATGCACGGGTTCACCAGCTGGAGAAGGAAGTATGTTTCTCAGTCATCCTGCGATCTTGCGTCCATTACCTGAACTCCCCCCCCGTCAGCTGCCCCTCTGTAAAATGGGAACAGATGTTCAGTTGAGACTCATGAACTCAAGTAAGATACCATGTACATATGAACCCTGTGCCTATCACCAGGCACAGGGAAACCATCAATAAAGGTAGCTACTGAAATTTTTAATTTAGTTATTTATTTATTTACTTTGTACCAGGGATCAAACTCAGGACTTTTTACCTGGCAGGAAGTGGCGCCACTGAGACAAATCCCCAGCCCCCCACTGATGTCTGCAGAGGCAGTGAGTGTGGCACGCAGCACAGGGTAGATGTCCATTCGCTGGCCCCAGGACGTCCCTGTCCCAGGTGGGTGGCGTGTCCTCTGGAGAAGGCCGCCGGGGACACGGCACAGGAGGGACGTGTTTATGGGACACAGCGTCTGCAGCAGGCACCGGTGTGACGGAATTCACAGGGCCCCCTCTGCCCTGGCTGCACTTCTGCCTAACAGATGGAGAACCGGGGGTCTGTTGACTCGCCCTAGGTCACATTTCTCAGCTGTGCCCACACTGACGTGAGACTCAGACCGCCCAGTTCCTGAGACCGTGCTCCCAGCTACACCACCATGGTGTGCGAGCTTTCTTGACAAGGGAGCTGGCAAGCAGCGGAAATCTGGAAGAGGCTTCCAAGTGCCAGGGGGAAAGCAAGGGTTGACTTTGCCAGGAGAAATCAGACAAGATATCTTGGTGAAGGGGCATTTAGGTTGGGTCTTGAAGGATGAAGAGGAGTTTACCAAAAAAGGCGGGGAGGCTATGGAAAAAGACATTCACTCATTGCATGGAAGTGTTCTGAGGCATTCCAGGAGCCCAGCCCAGAACTGCGTGATCCCAGAGGCACTGAGATGAGTCACACCTGGGCTTGGCTCTCAGGGGCTACCCATCTGCTGAGCAGACACTGAGAAGAGGAAGGGAGGCTGGGGTGACAGGAGCGATGGGCTTCAGGCTCGGGCAAAGATGCGAGGGTTCCCTGGGTCTTCGAGAGGCGGAGCTAAGCAGAAGTGGGCCGGTCTCTTAGGACTGGGAGGCCCTGTCCCAGGGAAGGGCGGAGGGTCTATGTCCCTGGCCCCCTCTGTCTTTCTCCTTGCCTTCCGCTCTTGCCTCCTCTTCCTCCCTCTCTCTCCCTGGTCCTTCCGGGTCTCCACCTCTCACCTCGTGATCTTTCTCCCATCTGTTCTTGCTTTCTGGGTGGCTCCCTGCACCCCTCTATCTGCCGTGAGGCTGGCTGGGCCCTCCCAGAACAAACCTGCCTACCTCCTAGGATCTCACTGAGGCTTCCTCCTCCTCCCCCAGGCCAAAAAAGATTCTGGGTCCAGACCCCGAGCCCGAGGTCAGGGAAAGAGACGCCCACAGCCTCGCCACGCCCCACTTACCCTTCCGTTCTGGTTCAGCTACAGCCAGCTGCCCGACTGGGGCTCACCTCAATTAGGGGGTTTCCTTGCACCCATCTCCCCTCCCAGGCCTCCATCACAGCCCCGGGGCTTCCCCTCCCTGGGGACATTTCTCAACCCTGCTTAATCACTGGGGCGGCCTCAGGGAGGAGGAAGCCAAACCGGCCAAGGGCTCATCATAAAGAAGCCCGCACACCAAGCCTGGCCCAGGACCCTGCGCTCAGAAGTCATGAAGCTGGTATTCGCAGGGGCTCTGCTCTCCCTCCTGGCCGGTGAGCCCCCACCCCACTGCCCCTACCCTGGCCTTCTGCACCCTGCCCTCCACACTCCTCAGTACCCTCCCCTGGGCCCTCCAGGTCTGTTCATCACTGGCCTTCTGCCCTCACCCCACCCCAGGGCACAGCTGGGCAGACACCCGGGCCATCGGAGCTAAGGAATGTCCCCGCAACTCACAGCCCTGGCAGGCTGGCCTCTTCTTCCTCGGCCGGCTCTTCTGTGGGGCAACGCTCATCAGTGACCGCTGGCTGCTCACGGCTGCCCACTGCCGCAAGTCGTGAGTACAGGAATGGCTGCCCTGGGCAGGGGGCTGGGGGCCAGGGGGGGGGGGGGGGGGGGGGGGGGGGGGGGGGGGGGGGGGGGGGGGGGGGGGGGGGGGGGGGGGGGGGGGGGGGGGGGGGGGGGGGGGGGGGGGGGGGGGGGGGGGGGGGGGGGGGGGGGGGGGGGGGGGGGGGGGGGAGAGCCTTAGGCAGGAAAGAAGGCATGTTTGATGCCACAAATCCAGCTCAGGATTACCACCAAGGTGAACCTTCCCAAATTCCCAAATTCCAGATCCTGAAATACCTGGCTCTAAGAGTTTTGAGAGAGTCTAAGGGCCTTCTGGTTGGAAGTTTAGGCTATTAAAATCCTAACCTCTGACCCCGAGAAAGCCAGAATTACAGAATCTTAAAATCTAGGGCCCATGAAATCCTAGAATCGTAGATTCATTGAGTGTTAGAATAATCTTAGTGGTCTGGGCCAGTGCTGCCCCAAGGAAATGCAACACCACTCGCTCATGTTTTCTAGGAGGATTGCAAGTTGAAGCCCAGTCTGGGCAACTTAATTATTATGACTTCTGACCCCGAGAAAGCCAGAATTACAGAATCTTAAAATCTAGGGCCCATGAAATCCTAGAATCGTAGATTCATTGAGTGTTAGAATAATCTTAGTGGTCTGGGCCAGTGCTGCCCCAAGGAAATGCAACACCACTCGCTCATGTTTTCTAGGAGGATTGCAAGTTGAAGCCCAGTCTGGGCAACTTAATTATTATGACTAATTTAATATAAGATTTAACTGGACATACTCAAAATATCATTTCAGTGTGTTCTTAAATAATTATGAATGCAACAGTTAGTTTTTCCTTTTCTTTCTTTCATATATATATATATATATATATGGTGGGACTTCAAAATCCAGCATGAATTTCAGGCACAGGACACATCTAAATTTGGACTAGCCACATTTCAGGTGTTTGATGGCTGTATTGGTCAGTGTTAGTTTCAGAGTATTATTGGCTCCCTGAACATAGACACAGTCCTACAATACTGTCAGGCATAGAATTCTAGAGCCTTGACTGAGAGAATTTTAGGAAATATGTAGAATCTTGTGGTGTAATATCCCAGAATTCTATAATTCCAGTTTTAAAAACCAGGATGCTTTAAGCTGGAGAACAATGAAGTCTTAAACGTTTAATTCTAAAATTTATAAAACCACAGGTTTATTAGATATCTATAATGATAAAATTTTAGTCTTATTGCCCCAAAATATTAAAACTCTAATTTCTTTAAGTATTAGACTTAAGGCAGATAACTTTAAAATGTTGGATGTTCTGGGCCGGGGATTTAGCTCAGTGGTTCCGGCGCCTGCCTTGCAAGCACAAGGACCCGAGTTCGATCCCCAGTACCAAAAAAAAAAAAAAAAAAAAAAAGGATGTTCTGCCAGACAAATACAGACTGTTAGAATCTTGGATCCATAAAATTCTCAAACTTGAGCCTCATGAAATTCAAGAACCATGGAAAGTGGAGTGTTAGAATTTTAGAATTCTTGCCAGGCATGGTGGTGCACGCCTGTAATCCCAGCACTCAGGGGGTTGAGGCAGGAGGATTGCAGTGAGTTCCAGACCAGACTGGGCTACATAGTGAGTTCCAGGTCAGTCTCAACTACATAGTGAGACCCTCAAAAAACCAAAAAAGAAAGAATTTTAGAATTCTTGAATGTTAGATTCTGGGCATTCTAATAGAATCACAGAATCCACGTGAAACAGGAGTTCTTTTCTGCATTGTCTCTGAACGAGGGCCGTCCACACTGTTCTATAGTCTTCCATCCAAGAATACAGCACTTATGTCCAATGGGATGCCGGCTGGGAATTTCCCATCATGCACCGCTCCATGATCTCTTTTAACTTCTGCCTGCATCTCAGGCTAGACAACAGGGCTTAAATTTAGCTCCAAAGCAAAAGAGGGAAGAAGGAGAGACAGCAAGATGAAAGAAGTCAGAGGCTAGAATGGGGTGGAGGGGATAACTTTTCCAACCCAGAGCCAAGATCACAAAAGCATCAAAGAGGGACAGAGAAAAAAGGAAGATCTCACCTCAGGACTTGGGAAACTGAATTCTCAGTCATTAGCCTGGTGCCTAAAGTCAGAGGTCAGAGGCTGTGAAATAGACATGTAGACCTCCAGAGGGCCCCCAACTGTTCAGAGCAGAATATGTGGGCCTGGCCTGAAGCGAGAAGGCCCCAGGCTGGATCTCAGGAAGAAGTGTAAAAAAGCCCAAGGTTATAGATGACCCCCAATTAGGGAATTTTCCATATCCTGTCCCCTTCCACACACACGCCCCCAAAACATCCTCCGAGTCACTCCCACAGAAGCCACCAGACGTGTGGGGACAGGGGTGGGGCTGTTATTGTGTGATAGGTGGGGCCCCCACAGGCCCACAAGGTTTCCAGGGGACCCAGGTCACCACTGAGGCTCCAGACAGGGCCGTGTAGAAGGAGGCTCACGTCACAGGCACAGTAAGTTCAGAGAGACGCTTTGCGGAAGAGCTACAAAGGTGAGGCAGAAGGAAGTCAGAGTGGGGAGCAGGGATCCAGAGGATGTGTGGCATCCGGAAGACCACGCACCACGCTGCTGGACAGAAAAAAAGACCGGGGCTGAGAAGTGCCCAACACCCCACCGCCCCTCGGCGTGACCCCCAAAGTCTGTCCCTGCAGGCACCTGTGGGTCCGTCTCGGGGAGCACCACCTCTGGCAGTGGGAGGGTCCAGAGCAGCTGTTCCTGGCCAGAGACTTCTTCCCCCACCCCGGGTTCAACAGCGACCTCAGCGCCAATGACCACAACCATGACATCATGCTCATCCGGCTGCCCAGGCGGGCGCGCCTGGGGCCTGCAGTGCGGCCCCTCAACGTCAGCGAGACCTGTGTCTCCCCGGGCACTAAGTGCCTCATCTCAGGCTGGGGGGCGGTGTCCAGTCCCAAGGGTATGGCCTTGCCCCCAACACACCCGGCGGCCTGCGTCTCAGGCCAGGGTCTGTTCTCTGCCGTCTCATCATGCTCATCCGGCTGCCCAGGCGGGCGCGCCTGGGGCCTGCAGTGCGGCCCCTCAACGTCAGCGAGACCTGTGTCTCCCCGGGCACTAAGTGCCTCATCTCAGGCTGGGGGGCGGTGTCCAGTCCCAAGGGTATGGCCTTGCCCCCAACACACCCGGCGGCCTGCGTCTCAGGCCAGGGTCTGTTCTCTGCCGTCTCTCAACATCTCAAGCGCTGTCAACTTTGAGACTCATCATTTTGTGAACTGCTCAAAGTTGGGAGAGGAGTCCCTTGGACGGTGTGACAGCATTGACCGGAAGACACATCCAGACTTTAGAGATGCTCACATGTGGACACCTTTGAATCCCAGAACTGGAACCAAGCACATCTCTCACAGCCCCGTGTCAGCAACCTGCTGGGCAGCCACTGAGTTTTCAGTGTCTTAAGAAAAAGCCTGCGTGGGCTGTCACTGATACCTAAAACCTGTGTGTCTTATGTAAAAGCCAGGTTTCTGGATTCACTTGAAAAGGTCAAACTTCCCAAAGTAGCAACCCCTGGGAAGCCAGGACAGACGGACACCTTCCCACCAGATGCAGGTCCACTGCCGCTCACCCCGCCAGCGGCTGGCTGCCCGCACTGCTTACCCAGAAAGCCCTTTGGTGCATCTCGGTGTGCAGCTGCATGCGGGTGTTCTACACCCCTGACTGTCCGCTGAACGTGGGGCGCCATCTTCGTCTATATCCAGTGCCTCCCTTCCCTATCGGTGATCATGTGACCCTTTACTGCACCGTCTTCCCCTGCTTGGTGTCCCTGGGTCTGTTTTCCCACATTTCTTCCCCTTAAGAGGCCTGTTTTCTGAGTCACACACGTGCCTCGTCTCTTATTCTCTGCGTCTTTCTGTTTCTCCTCCTTTTCCTGACCTCTCTTCCGGCCCCTGTCCTTCTGCTACTCTTCTATGCTGTGACTGTCCCCGCTCTCTGTCTGTCTTCACTGTTGGGCCACAGCTCTCTGGGTCCTCCTGGGAAGGGAGGGTGCAGTGAGGGGTCCGATGTAGGGGGACAGCTACTGACCCTCTGCGATCTCCTGCCCACAGTGCAGTTCCCGCTCACGCTGCAGTGCGCCAACATCAGCATCCTGGAGCCCACACTCTGTCACTGGGCATATCCGGGCCACATCTCGGACACCATGATCTGTGCCGGCCAGTGGGAAGGGGGCCGAGGCTCCTGCCGGGTGAGACTCAAGGGGGGCCGGGCCACAGAGGGTGCTGGGACTTGGATGAGGAGACAGCTGGAGGCTCTTGGATCTGAAACAGGAGGGGTCGAGGGTCCAGACTAGAGTCCTGGGGATGTGTGGCTCTCTGAGCTTTTACTCCTGGATCTGAGAGAGAAGAGACTGGAGAGCCGGACTCGTGGGTGCTGGGGAGGAGGGTGTGACTGTGTACAAGGGGTGACTACTGAAAAATACAGTGAGGGTTTACACCGACATATTTATTACAGTAAAAGACACGGCTACAAAACAGCTCCCCTTGCTTCAAATATACCTATCCCACGGTTCTTGCTACTTTCTTTGGGCGGGGGACTGAGGATTGAACTCAGGACCCTGCGCTTTCGAGACAGACAGTGGCACCCGAAGCAGTTCTGGACGTCCTCCGTTCTAGAGATCCTCTTTCCTGAGTGTCTTTACAAGATAGGATCAAAAGTAAGGTGAATGCTGCTGCCAGGTGCCATGCAAAGAAAGGCAGGCTCATAAAAATATTACGGTATATCCCCCTCCACCTTTCTCACGGGATCTGGTACCATTCGACTTCTGCCTCCTCTGCAAAGTCAAATGACCAGGAAAGGTCAGCGTGGCGTCGAGGCAGGCAGGAGAGCACAACTAAAGACATTCATGACAGAGGACTTCCAGAACTGTTCCAGAAAGTGGCAAAAACCACGGGCTAAGTGTGTTGGAAGACGAAGGGGGGTATTTTGAGGGCTATTAATAACAATGTGCCTTTCACTGTACTACAAACTTTAAACATTCGATCGCCCCTGGTAATAATGTTGAACAGACAGAGCTAACAGTTTCTGCTCTTCTCCGGCTCACAGGGTGACTCTGGGGGCCCCCTGGTTTGCAACGGGGCCCTAGCGGGCGTGGTGTCTGGTGGCAGTGAGCCCTGCTCCAGACCCCGGCGACCCGCCGTCTACACTGGTGCATGCCACTATTACGACTGGATCAGGAAAACCATAGAGGAAAACTGAGTCCCTAAGGAGTCATGGCAGGTCTCCAGCCGCAAGAGTCTCCGCCCTGGACCTCGGGTTGCCTGGGAGACCAAACTCTGAACACTCAGACTCAGCCCCTCAAGCTCCGCCCCTGGGCATCGCCCCCCACCATGTGGCCACGCCCCCTCAAACCGGAGCCGGGGCAGGGGACCTAGGATTTAACCGAAAATTAGCACCGCCTGGAACGGTCCGACTGCGGCTCCGCCCCAAGGAACACGCCCAGTAAATAGTCCCGCTCCCCTAATTTTGCCCAATGGGGCCTCTCTTCTGGACGCCACTCCTGGCCCCGCCCTCCATGACGTCAGGCCGCATCGGCTCCGCCCACGTGTCTGCTCAGCCGGTGTGGGCCCCGCCCCTCGTGGCCCTGCCCTGGGCGTGTCCTGGGTTCGAATCCGAGCGGGGACTTCACGAGGAGGAGGCGGGGCGGGAGTCGATGCTTTTCAGAGCCAACGGGAGATTTTACAATAAACTCGCTTTCCTTCTGCCTGCGCTGTGATGGGGAGGGCGACCGGTGGGCGATGAGGGGCCAGCGAAGCAGTTCCCCCCTGGAGCCCGCGTGAGTCCGGCCACAAGTCTGTCTCCATCACCCCTATTGCAGCAAGGCCATGAACCCCGCTTAGACTGCTCCCGCCACTCCCAGGGCAAGAGTAAACCAGGTCACGGTGCCTCCCAAACCTGCCTTCCCAGATCCCGCACTTCAGGCGGGCAGGCCCGGTCCGCCCTCAGAAGACTCAAGACGCCTTTTTTTTCATTCTGTGTTGCTAGCAGCAGCCCCCTCCTCCCACCAGATCGGGCTCCATGCCCTTCCTTCCAAAGGCCGTAGGAAGCCCCTCCCGGCTCCGCCCCAGGGGTCCAGACGCCATCCCCTCCCTCCACCCCAGGGGGCCCGGCCCAGATCTTTCCGGGGATCCGAGCTCTAAGCCCTGCTCTCTAACCTCAGAGTCCGAGATTCCATTCCATCCCATCCTCGCTCAAACTGCGGTTCAGCCCCTCCACCCTCCTGCACAAACTCCCGGGGTTCCCAGAGGCTTCCCCGGCTCTGGTGCGGGAGGAGGCGGGGCAGAAGGCGGGGACTCCGGGTTAAAAGGCTGCAGACTCGCGCACTGGGCCGGCAGCTGTGAAATACGGGCCTCTTCCGCAGAGTCGCAATCAGCAGGTGACCCCGCCCCCCGGATTCTGGAAGGTGAGGTGGGAGGTGCTCGGACTTGGCCTCGGGCCCAGGGACCCCTCCTTCCTCCCCAGCGCGCAGGACCCCAGCCTCACACCCCACCACCTCCCCTCCCTCACTACCAAGCTTCCGGACCCCAGCTGCCTCCTCTATCCCCTCTGTCCATCTGTCCTTAGACCCAGATCTCCAAACCCAGTTTCCTTCCAGCTTGGCCTGTAGGAGGCGCTCCCCCATCCACCGCCATACTTAGATTCAGCAGCTGAGGCTTACATCCCCATCTTCCTGAGGCAGGACCCAGAACAGCTCCGGAAATCCTGCCCCCTCCTCAGTCCCAAACCCCGAGGGAGAAGTCAGGCACCCCTTCCGGACTCAGCCCCACCCTGGTACGCCCCCCACCCTGCTCAGGCCTGATGTGGACGGTCCTGCTGCTGCTGCTGCTGGCCTCTTGGGCAGGTGAGGGGCAGGGGCGGCACAGAGGAGACGGGGTGCTGGGGAAGCTGTGTGCATGCCTAGGGGGGGTGGGGTGCGCAGGGTGGCTGGGAGGGGATGGGAAGCCTGAGGCTGGGGCTCTCAGAGAGGGTGGAGCCACAGAGCCTGTGTCTGAGGGAGGAGTGGCAGGAGTACTCAGAGGGGATGCAGCCAGGGTGTGTTGTGTGGGTGATTGGTCACCGGCTCCCGTGGGTGGGTGCGCACGTGTGTGTGTGCGTGTGTG